ATTATAAGAACGTGGAAGTGTTTGGGAACGACAGTCGTCCAACATCTGGGTGTTACCTCACAAATGCGCTTCTGGAAGAATGGACAAAAATTCCCATAAAGACACTCCTGAACCTTGTGGACAGCCTTCCCAGAAGAGTTGAAGCTGTTATAGCTGCAAAGGGTGGACTGATGTCATATTGAACCCCATGGATTAGGAATGGGATGTCACTTACAGTAAGTTCATATGCGAGTAAAGGCAGGTGAGCGAATACTTTTGGCAATATAGTGTATGTAGATACGTGAGTATATGCTCCCCTCTCTCTTTTCCCTCCCTCCCTCCCTCCCTCCCCCATCCATCCATCCATCCATCTATATTGTTGTCATGTTTATGTAGTCTAAATTGCAGGTGGTGACCCTTTGAGATTCGTATCCAATGAAATTTCATTTTAATGTATGCTGATTAGTGAACATTTCAAGTGACAATAAAGTTAGTCTAAGTCCTAAGAGCCGAGATGGCGCAGTGGTTAGAGTGCAGTACTGTAGGCTACTTCAGCTGACTGCTAGCTGCAGCTTGGCAGTTCGAATCTCACCAGGCTTAAGGTTGACTCAGCCTTCCAATCTTCCGAGATGGATAAAATGAGGACCATAATTGTCGGGGGCCATTGGCTGACTCTGACTCTTAGAGAGGGTGTAAAGCACTGTGAAGCGGTATATAAGTCTAAGTGCTATTGCTATTACCCAAACTAGTAACCTCATCAGTGCTCAAGCAATGCTTGATTCTGGTGACGTTACCTATTTTGGGTAGTGAAACATCCGCAGGAAAACAGACAAGCTCAGAGAGCACCAAGAGGCCTCCACTTCAGCACTGAGATACAAATATTCTCCTTTATTGAGGATAACAGAGTCTTGATGATGGTTCCTTTCCAGGCATCACCACAGCAGCTGTTTGTGTCTATCCGGCCAGAGTAGCTGATGCAGTTAAGGCTCTCAAATCTGCTAGCTGTCAGATCCCAGTGGCTTCAGGTAAGCTCTCAGCCTGAATTCCTGAAGGGGCAATTCAGAATCAGTTGCTCATTTTATGTATTCGTTCATTAAAGATTCTGTCTTGTTCTGGACTGATGAACAGTCCCACGTTGTCACTGGTGCCATATGTTTACTAGAAACTAACCTTGATACAGTTCTGGATTAAAAAGAAAAGTCGAGCCCTATGATCAAAATGAATGAAATGAACTGAGATCAGCAGGTTTTGACCAGTTCTGGAGAACCGGTAGCGGAAATTTTGAGTAGTTTGGAGAACCGGTAAATATCACCCCTGACTGGCAAATATATCTATTCTCTACCTCCCGAGTCCCAGCTGATCGGGAGGGAATGGAGTTTTTACAGTATTCTTCCCCTGCCACGCCCACCAAGCCACACCCACCAAGCCATGCCACGCCCACCAAGCTGCGCCTACAGGACCGGTAGTAAAATTTTTGGAATCTCACCACTGAATGAGATGCACAGGTAAGTCCTCAATGTACGACCACAATTGAGCCCAACATTTAATCTTGCTAATCAAGACATATGTTAAGTGCGTTTTGCCCCATTTTACAAGCTTTCTTGATACAGTTGTTAAGTGACTCACAGCAGTTGTTAAGTTAGTAACACGGTTGTTAAGTGAATCTGGTTTCCCCATTGACTTTGCTTGTCAGAAGGTCGCAAAAGGGATCCCAGCAGGCCCTCTCCAAGTGGCCAGACCGGATAGTCAGATTTGCTGGTATCAAATTAGTCATGATATAGCTGGATGATAGCTGTTTAAAGGTAACATTCAGCTCCTGCTACTTTCTGCATGAAACAGCAGTGCTATATATATATTTCTTTGCTACTGAGGCCAAAGTTATTGAATGCTTACTCAGTCAGCCTTGGACAAATTTAACTTGAGCTTGATTTGCTCCGAATGAAGGCAAAGATGCATGTCCCAAAGATAAAGTTGCAGGATCCAATCTGGGTTGGTCACCGGGACCAGAGTTTTAGTCTTCCAGACTTCTGAACTTGTGCTGGAGCCCATCCTTGTGGAACTTCTCTCTCACCAGAATGTGATGAACTGCCCCAGAATTGCTCCATTGGGATCCTCACAGAGACTCCAAACACTACTTCAGAACGTTCATACTTGTCGTGGCCCCCCAGCAGATTCAGACAGTGAGGAGGTTGGGGAGGAACATGGCTCAGTCCTGGAGTCTTGGGAAGACTCTGATGAGGGCTCTGCGTCAGAGGCAGAGAGTTGACAGCCAGGGCCGCCCGATAGTTAACAACTGACTTCAGAGTCAAACATCAGTGAGGCAGACGAACAACTGGAGCCTGTTCCCAGTGTGCGCATGCGCAGAGTCACCAGACAAAGGGAACAGCTAAAGAACAGGGGTCGACTTGGGAGTAAAGCCACAGGTGGACGGTGAATGACCCCTCCCATAGGGAATAAAAGGAGTGAAAGCGGAGGGGTGTTTGCAGGAAACAATTAGCTCATTCCTGCATTCTTGCCAAGTATTGCGGCGTCTGAAAGATATCGGCCTGGCCACTCTCCAAGCCTGATAAAGGTTGGTAATTGTGAACTACCTTGAAAGACTTTGGGAGAGGAAAGACTTTGCTGGAGAGGAATTCACTGTAAATTAAATAAAAGGGGTTTATCAGGACGAGGATTCGGCTTCATGCTGCTGGGGAAGCCTAGGTCAGAACAATAATATTTCCAGTTTGGTTAAGGAGGGTTGATGTATTGAAGTAGCGGTCAAACCACTGTAATTCTGTGTTGCAATTCTGGTAGCCTGGAAGGAAAGCATGACTGACGGAATGGAAAGCTGCTGAGAGATCTAATCAAAGTCCTACATCTTAACTCCTGATAAAGAATATTGCCACTACTTTAACATCTCTGATGTACTTAACGGATTTTGTTTTTCTTTTCTTAGTGGCAGCTGGATTCCCAGCAGGACAGACGCCTCTAAAGACACGTTTAGAGGAGATCCAGCTAGCCATAGAAGATGGGGCCAAAGAGATTGATATTGTCATTAATCGAACCTTAGTACTGACAGGCCAATGGGAAGGTGAGCATTTCCATAATCCAAAAATCGAGGTTCTAGGGAAGACTCCCCCCCCCCGGAATAAACCAGACAAGAAACTCAGCCGTTGTGGTGCAAACTTTGGAAAGAGTCTTATGTTCTTAGGTAGTGGCTACAATTTGTGCAGAAAGATAGACTTGTGGGGACTTAGGAAAATAATGTAGGCATTTTGCTGACGGTAATTTGCCAAGAGTTGTTGGGGTCTGCCAGCGGCCAGCAGATTCGGACAGTGAGGAGGTTGGGGAAGAACATGGGCCAGTCCTGAAGTCTGGGGAAGGCTCGGAGGAGAGCTCTGTGTCAGAGATGGGGCCAGAATCATATGCCAGTTATCAGCTGCCTTCAGAGTCAGACATCAATGAGGCAGATGAACAGCTGGAGCCTGTTCCTAGTGTACCCATGCGCAGTGTTGCCAGACGAAGGGAACAACTAAAGAACAGGAGTAAGGCCACAGGTGGACGATGAATGGCCCCTCCCAGAGGAAACAAAAGAAGAGTGAAAGGGGAGTGGAGTTTGCAGGAGACAATTAGTTCGCTTAATTGGTTCATGACTCTCTGAGACTCCTTGCCAAGTTTTGCAGAGATCGGCCTGGCAGCTTTCCAAGCCAGATAAGGTCTGTGACTGTAAATCCTCCCTCAAAAGACTTTGCTTGATGTGAATGAGCAGAATTCACAGTAAATTAATAAAGGGGTTTTTTGTCAGGACAAGGAGTTTGCAATCCTATCCAGTGTGTTCAAAACCTCCCAAGTGATTCTTCAGAAATTTGGAATCTCCTTTCGTGCACGCTGGTAGGTGGTTGCCTTTTAAAAAACAAAACCTAAATTTGTTTACTGCTGCTATAAATTTTGAAAAAAACCATCTCTAGATATTGTTTTTTAAAAAAATAATAAACCAACCCTTTCTGCAAAGCTATTGTGTGAAAATTCAATCCATCCACACTTTTCTCTAAATTAAGAGTGGGGAGGGAGAATACTCCATGGGGTGCTAGTGCTGTAATTATTTGCAATAGAATTGTTAAAAAGAATTCAGAGAGGGGTGTTTTTTTTGGTTTAGGTGATGTATCATATTAAAATAAAAAAGTGTGCTGGATTCTTGACAACAAAATCTGTATCTTTAATTGGTTTTCACAGAATTCCAGGGCATGTGTGGTACTGTTTAGATTGCTGTGGCTAGTTGTGTCCCTCCCCTCCCCCAGAATGCTATTAATTAGTAGATTTTAAATACCACGGGAGATATCTATTCTCTGCATGATAATTGGGTTTTCCTTAATGTACCCTGAATGGTTTGCCTGTAAGTGCTGACAGAACTCCAACAACTGGATTATGTGTAGAGAAAAAATAGGGATGCAATTAAACATCCTTACATTAAAATACTCCACCCCCCTCCATTGTTTTGGCTGAATGATACAGTGCTGATAACCCTTACCTTATTCATACAGCGTTTTTACTACGTTGGTTGGCCAAAAAGGCTTCCAAAGTAGGTTGCAAAACTCAGTTCTTGCTTTCAAGGTAATATTTAGAAGAAGGCAAACAAGGAAAAAAGGAGTGGGGAGGACAGAAATTCATGCAATCTATAGTTTGGCATCCGGGTGGGAGAAATATAGATTGTCTTCGACTTAATAACTACAGTGGACCCAACATTTCTGATGCAAAGCGGGGCGTTTGTTAATAGCAGTAGCAATTAGACTTATATACCACTTTGCAGTGCTTTACAGCCTTCTCTAAGCAGTTTTACAGAGTCAGCCCATTGCGCCCAATTTGGGTCCTCATTTTACCCACCTTGGAAGGATGGAAGGCTGAGTCAACCTTGAGCCTTGTGGGATTTGAACAATCAAATTGCAGGCAGCCAGCAGGCAACAGAAGTAGCCTGCAGTACTGCACTCTAACCATTGTGCCACTGAGGCTTTGTAAAATGTTGTGGATGGGAGAAAAAACATGGTAAGAGGAGATTTTAAAGGTTGATTACTAGAAGCAACCAGAAAATAAATATATATATATATATCTATAGCTGATAACGGAGGAGAGCCTGTGGCTTAATGGTTAACACATCTGCCTAATATGCAATACAGCCCAGGTTCGAATCCCAGTAAGGTGATGGCTAGCTGATGAGAGCTAAATAGCTTGAAATAGATCTATACTAGTCTCCCTTTATTTATTTATCAGCACAAATGCAATATATATATATATATATATATATATATATATATATATATATATATATGTATATATGTATATATGTATGTATGTATGTATGTATGTATGTATGTATGTA